AGGAGGTCAGGGCTCTAGATTCCCTGTGGTCCCCTGATGACCCTGAGATTTGAACCATGTAACTGAGTTCTTGCATCAGTTCTTGCCTGTCTGTGATCTGACCGTGGCGATACCACTCTCCAGCGGGCAGGATTGGTAGCAGGAATACTTTACCTTGTGTGGCCCCCACCACTGGCAGCCAGCCCCCTTCTCAGGCCACATGTCTAGAATTCCAAGGGTCTTTTTAAGAGATTTATTATGAATTGGGATTAAATACATATAGCATATGATTCCACAGTTCAATCACGTCCAGTAGAGCTGCACAGTTGCTGCCACAGTTTCCAAACATTCTTTTTCTACCTGGATTCCTTGCTATTGTCTCCCCACCACCCTCCTCAACCTCCTCCTCCCCCCAACAGCCCCGACTCCCTACACACACACACACACTGTACCCACCTCCTCCCCAAACCCTGTTTCTACTTGCTGCCCCCTTAGGTTCACCAATCCTGGGCTTTAGATTCCCCCAAAATAGGAAAGCACATACCACAACTTCAAGAGGGTGACTTCCAAGGACACAACACCCCTGATATACACTCTCATGTGAACAAACGAAACATTATAAACCAAAAATACAGAACATGTTGGAAACCAGATGAGGTCCAGCCTGCATCATAGTGGCGTGTAAGGTTTCTGGGGGGGGTAATACCTTGATTCTTGGCTTCGCTCAAGAAAGAATTCACGCTGAAGCCCGTTTTGTAATCCAAGTGGATTTTTATGAGGGACGGGGAGAGGTTTCAGGTTTTTCAGTCTCAAAAGAGTACACGCGATTTCAGGAAGCTGCCCTGGGGTTTATAACTGGACAACCTCGTGGAACAGGGCACCCACACTGGCACTGAGGCCAGAGAGCACACGACATGGCACGAGTGAGCCCCAGATTGCGCTGGGGGAAGGGCGGCTGTGGCCCCTAGTAGGCCTGGGTGGGCACAAGTGTACTCTGGCCTGCCACTGACCAGGGGCAGGGTCAAAAAAGAGAAGGCCCTTCCCTTGCCAGGGTATTTCAGACCTCTGACTGGAGAGACGTGGTTGACCCCATTGGCTCTGTTAAGCCCACCTGGCTGAGGTCATGAGCCTGGGCCTGGTTTGGACCAGCCAGGTGTACCTCTCACCTGGCTGGGGGTTTGAATTGGAGCATGGTCAGTTAGGGTCTTCATAGGTGTCTAATGGTCACCTGATTTATTTCCAACCTCCTCTAGGGGGCCCTTTGCTGGCATGGGAGGGACAACCCCTTGTTCCTTAATCTGGCTACCTAACAGATCTACTGACAGAAGTTTTAACAGTTAAGTCAGATTTATGTCTTTGATCTTCCAGACTCTTCTCTCGAAACCATTCTGTTTAGTAGCCACTTTCCTCCCATCCTCAGTTGTGGATAGAGGGAGTTCTCTGGAGGCTTATTTCCTATGTAGTTCCAACGATGAATCTTGGGCTTCCACTGTCATCCATAGCCTTCTGCACACTGGATTGTCACAATTTAGACTCTGATGCTAATCCCCTTTGATTTTGGATTATATAGATTACTATCCTTCAGTGACTGATGATGGCATGCTTTTACCATGTGGACTTAGTTGACATCTCACTTAGTTGTCTGCTTATTCGGAGACAAGCCTTTAAGACCCCAAATGCTATGTTATCTGATAGTCAGGCACCAATTACACTCTGCCACATTTTGCTATAGCGCCCGTATCTTCCGTGTTGCCTTCCTGAAGACGAGTATCGAGCAGGACCATGATGTAAGAACTAATTATTCTTAAATAATAGTATATATATATATATATATTCTCTTAATTTGTTATTACTTGGGAGTTAATACATATGTCATATCACTCCATAGTTCAATCACATCAAGCAGAATTGTACAATTGCTTCCATAATCGGTTTCCAAACATACTTTTTCTTCTGGACTACTTGACATCATCTCCCTTTTATCTGACCCTCCCCCCACCCCGCCCTCTGTACCACCACCACCCCTCGTTCTATTTGCTATCCCTATAGGCCCATCAGTCCAGGCTTCATCTACCCCAAACCAGGACAACAAATGACACAACTTCAAGAGGGTGACCCCAATGACACAGCACCTCTGAGATATACCCTCATGTGACAAGCATAAACAAAATAAAACAGAATGTCCGTCAGAGGTTTGCCGAAATAATACATAGCTTAATGTAGCACATAGGGTGTTGGTGTAGCAAGACCTTGTTTGTCTGCCAACCTACAGGGAACCACTCTTGGTGCAGCTGTCTTCTGCTTCCTCAGACACCATGTATTTCCCAACTCAAGTCCTCAGGAGACAAGTGTGTCTGAACTAGAGTCCAGCTCACCCAGTGGAGTTCCCACATGCAGTCTCACTGATGCAGCCTCTGGAGCATGCTGCGCGCCCCCAAGATCCAGGGTTCCGTGGCCCGGCGTTGCATGGACCCCGACCTGGGTTCCTGGGATATCCCCGACACCCAAGTTCAATGCAGCCCTTTCATTGCATGCCACCAAAGACATCCCCCCTGCCAAGTGGCAAAGTACCCTCAGTCATTCTTCCACCCACCTGGAGGTCAGTCCTCTCTCTCCTACCAACTAAACTCACTGCCATCGAGTCATCCTGCTCACAGCGACTCTGTAGGACCGGGCAGAACTGCCCCTGGGGGTTTCTGCCTGTCACTCTTATTATTATTAATTAAAAATGGTTTCACTGGAATATAATTCACAAGCGCTGTAATTCAATAGTTCAATCACATCAAGAAAAACTACAATCGTCGCCACAATCAATTTTAGAACATGTTCTTCATTCTTGCACTCATGATTATTAGCTCCCCATTCCTCCTAACCTCCCCTGCCATACCCCTAAAGAACCAGTCATCCAGTTACCATGTCTATAGATTTACCTTTCCTGGATTTCATATACAGAAAAACATTAAAAAAAAATAAACCCCCAAAAAACTAACAACAATAACAAAGTAAAACAGCGAAAACCTCAATCAAAAAGAAAGCAGAAAACATTAACAACTAGAACAAATTAAAGAATGGTCAAAAGGGAGATACAATGATAATGGTTAAGTGTTAATCAATCTGCATCTGCAAGAATCCACTTTCCAGTGCCTTCTGCATGATAGCAAGGCTATTACATCCTTCGTCTATAGTCAGAAGGGATTCATATGAGGCTTAATTCACGTATATTTTCCCTTTAAATGGGTCTAAAGGGAGGTTGAATAATAAGATATTACATTGTAACTTAACTATACCTGCCATAATTGACTTTATCATGCTATCTGGTAATAAGGCTACTCACATCCCTCAACTATGGTTAGAGGGAATTCACCGAAGCTCAATCCATGTGTGGGCCCTGTAGATGGATTTTGGGCATCTGAGACTGTAACTCTTTACCAGGGTAGAAAGCTCCAGTTTTCTCCCGCAGAGAGACTGGTGGTTTTGAACTGCTAATTTTGCAGTTAGCAGTCCAACATATAACCACTACACTGCCAGAGCTCTTCAGGTAATCTACAGAGGTCTTTAAATCCACCCACAGGCTCTAGGCTAAATTTAAGATATATTGATGCATATTTCATTCTTCTGACTTTTTCACATTGAGAAATCAAGACACAAAAGGGAAAAGGACTGGTTCAAAACCCAAACCTTCATAAATAGTCCCATGAAGACAGTTATTATTATTATTTTTTGTAATAAATAATTGCCAGATTTATCCCTGGATAAAAGCTTTAGAGGTAATGTAAAATATACAATCAAAACTTTACATGTTCTCATTACACTTACAGATTATTTCATTACAAATTATTTGATCAGCTCTTTTTATTAAAAAATACTTTGGGATTTTTTTTGGTGTATGTAGGTGTATGTGACACACTAGTATTATGTTTACTAAAAAATACACAACAAAAAAAATACCATATAGAAATTAGCAAGGTTAAGTTTTTGAGGTGTGTGTGTGTCTGTCTGTCTGTCTGTCTGTGGGGCATCCTCTTGCATGCCTTCCCTCAGGACTAGGTCTTCGGTGAGGGAGGACTTTACCGTTTCTTTCAAAAACTTTCTCTTCTCTCTCTTTGAGTTCATTGCATCTCTCTGACTAAGCAGGGGGGAAAACAGCTTTGCCTTCCTGAGGAATGGCGGTCCTATGAATTTAGTAATTCATAGCCAAGTCCTCCCAGCTGGGCAAGGCCTTCACGGCTGTCATTGACCTGCTATTTAACCACAGGTGAGAGGGCTTGGCAGATAGACCTAGCTGGCTAGGAATGACAGATCAGACATTTAGAATTCTGGGTTTTGGGTTTTTTTTTGCTTTTTGTTTTTCTTTGTATTAAGGACTCTGATGAATAACAGATTAAGGTTTTATAGTCATTTTTAATCTAGAAACCACCCCCGTACCAAAAAGAAAGAAAAAGTATTCTTTTTTTTTGGTCTCTGATTTGGAAAGGACCTCAGAGTGGCTTTCTCCCAATCACAAATTCCTCTCCACACTGGGTACCCCATTTGGTTGAAGTCTACTCTCCTCTGCGTGTTCCTGAGCATCTCCGTTTAACACAATTTATGGGACGGCCATTGGCCCACATGCCGGGGTCTCTCTTTATGTCCTAAGCCTCAGTGCGTTGTCCGAACTGAGGCGCTGGTTGCCCCGCCCCCAGTCCACGACCCCCTTCTTTCTTTAACAGGACTCCCGGCCCTTGGGTGTCATTCAACCATTGAGACTCCATCTCATGTATGGAGGGCACGGAAGGGATCAAGTGGTCGTGGGATTCAGAGCAGGCCCATGGGACCTTCATACATGTTCGAGTTGTGGATCCCACCTCCTGCTTTCAGAATCCTTGCTTGTGACGTGAGAGATTCTAAGGGCGAGATCTTCTCAGGACTCGGCGTCCCGTGGCCGCTGGCAGAGGACGAGCCACGGGGAGCACCTGCTCACTTGCCACGGAGGACTGGATTCCAAGGGGAGGAGCTGACGGTGCCATCCCCGGCTGGCAACCATGTGGAGGCACCGAGCAGCCCGCGGTCTGCTGCTCCTGAAGAAGGAGATGGTGAGCAGGGTCTCGGCCACCTCCTGCGCTGTGGCAGGAACCACTGGGCGGGCTTGTATTCCAAGACGCTTTGGGGGGTGGGGGGGTGGCCACGTGAGGTTCCGGGAGTGGGTGATACCGCGGTTCTTTGCATCACACGCTGAAAGAATTCACACCCAAGGACGGTGGGTGTGTGATCCCAGTGGGGTTTTTTTATGAAGGACAAGACAAGTGTCAGGTGTGAACAGTCTCAAAAGGGGACACGCTATTTCTGGGAAGTGGGCCAAGCTGCGCAGAAGCCCCGCTGGGGTTCACAACATGGGCACGAGCCACCAGGTGGAAAAGAGCACCCACAGGTGCGGAATGTGGGTGCGTGGGTGGGGGATCTGGGAGGCTAGAAGCCCAAGAACCCTAGAGGCTAAGAGTATGGGGGCCCAGGGCCCGAGAACTTGTGGGCCCAGAGCAGGCCCAGAGCTGGGCGCATGTGCCCCTGCACGTGGAGGGAGACCCTCACCCTCCACCTACCTCTGACCAGGAGCAGAGTAAGAGAGTGAGCAAAGGCGCGAGAGGGCAAGAGGCCATGAACCCAAGCCCATGTGGGCCCCGGAGCAGGCCAGGAGCAGGCCCTGAAGGAGCACACCCGGAGCAGCGCATGTGTGCCCCCACCCTCTGACCTGCTACAAGACCAGAGCGAGGCCTTCCACAGCCAGGATATTTCAAACCTCCGTCTGAGGAGGCGTGGTGATAGTATTGGTTGGGCCCATTGGCTATATTAGGCCCACCTGTAGGATGTACCGAATATAGGTGTATCCAAGACATTGACTTTACCTGGGCCTAAGGGGCTTGTGTCTGTGCATGCCCAGTTTGGGGTCTTCAGAGATGTTCAATGGTTGCCTGCTTTACAACCTCTTCTATGGGGGCCTTTGCAGGCATGGGCAGGATGACTCCCTTGTCCCTAAATCTAGCTACCTAACCGCTACATCTGAATCGCAAAACCACCGGTTGCTCGCAGGAGGAAGACAGGGCTCCCTACTCCTGTAAACAGTTACAGCCGAAAATGTTTTGAAAATTATGCTGGCAACATGTGTACAAATGTGCTTGACACAATGGATGGATGGATGGATGCTGATGAGAGCTGTAAGAGCCCCCAATAAAATGATTTAAAAAACAAACAAACCCAAAACAGTTACAGTCTTAGAAACTCCCAGGGCAGTTCTACCCTGTCCTACAGGGTTGCTACGTGTTGGCATCGGCTCCATAGCCAATGAGTTTGTTTTGTTTTGGCTTGTATTCATTCTATCATAGTTCAGGAGGCTAGAAGTCTGTCTTCATAGTGCGAGCTCTCGGGAAGGCTTTCTTTCCCTTTTAATTTCGGGGCAAGGGCCTTGTCGTCAGACTTTCCCTTGGTCCAGGAGTTTCTTAGCACAGGAACTCCAGGTCCGAATCTTATTGGACCCTCCCTGTCTCTGCTTGCTTCTCCCTCTGATTTAATGTCTTAGTAGCCCTGGTGGCGCAGGGGTTATAGCTTAGGCTGCTAACCTCAAGATAAGCAGTTTGAAAGCCCCTGTAAAGGGTTACAGTCTCAGAAACACACAGGGGCAGTTCTAACCTACCCAATAAGGCCATTATGAATCAGAATAAACGTAATGGCAGTGAGTGAGGTCATTGAAGAAAGGTTACTGAAGATACATCCCACCTAATCCTACCTCATTACGCATGCATTTGAATTGCAATGCTGGAGAAAGTACTGAAAGTACCACGGACAGCTAAAAGAACAAAGCAATCTGTCTTGAGAGAAGGCCGGCCAGTGTGTTCTTCAGAGGCCAGGGGGTAGGCCAGGGGGGCAAGACAATTTGGCAAGACCTACTTTGGACATGTTTTCAGGAGAGATCCAACCCTGGAGAAGGACAGCATGTTTGGTAAAGTGGAGGGTCAGCGGAAAAAGAGGAAGGCCTCAAGAAGATAGATTGACACCGTGACCATAACAGTGGGCCCAGGCATAGGAACAGGTTCGGGCAGTTTC